TCAACAATTACTCCATGTAAATCTAAAAGTATCCTTATAATTCTCACAAGTTCACACTTTGCTTCATTTTGTTGTCACACTGATTAGCATTTTTCTACTTTTCATAAATTCAACTTCCAACGTTTTGTACATTAATCAACTGAGGATGACAGTAGGTTCTGTCGAAACATGTCTTTGTAGCTTGAGAGTTTTGTCGTTCAGTTTAATTTCTAGGAATGTTCCTAGATTACAGGAATACAAAGCAGACTATGACAACACAACTTCAGATCATCTGTCCCACAATCCTCCGTAGGAAAAAAGATGTGAGCTATACATTTTACTACAATACCATGCGAGCCTAATACAGCCCGTAGAGTACAAGGAAAGCCAGATTTTTGCAGTATTTGTCACTGCACTATCGACATTGCGCATGTTAGGTTTGAAGGATTTAGAACGTTTCTGTGCGTTTTTATCAGCGTTGTTTTAGTTTCCGTGCGCTAAGAGTTATGGGTAAATGTACAGTCACCATCTTTTTTCCTACGGCGGATTTCAATGACTTTGATGGCATTAAAGTAATTTCGGAGCCAGACTGAAGGATTTAAGGCCTGGTATGAAAAGACACAACTTAAGGCAGAAACGATATTAGCGTCAAACATACGGCTAGTACTGTTTGTTTTAGTTTTGCCGTTGAGAGAAAGGAAGAATTTTTCACGGTTCAGTTAAAAACATATACAATTGTATTGTATTTTAATTACAAATGTTCAATACGCAAAATTGCATTCTTTTCAAAACCTCAGCCTTGGGGTTATTCCAAGAAGATTCTTAAAATTTTGCAAATTTCAGCCTCGATATTCTTATAAAATACTGCAAAATATTAACCTCCAACTAACCGAGTGCAAGGGCCGTACTGGGGAATAATGGCCTGATGTCGTAGTTATACAGACCGAGCGCAGCGAGGTCCCTACAAAAATGCTCAGATACAAGAGACCAGATCTGATTCGAAGACTTTTTATCATTGAAGCGTTTGCAAGCATATAACTTGCCATAATGCCCAAAGCTTAAGATATTTTAAATAATTGCTTAGCTGATTGCCCTGGGGGACTTCTGTATAAAAAGGACGGGGGTGCTCGTCGGAAATTTTGAAAAGAGCCCCTAAGAGGTACCAAGATCCTGTTTTGTGGGCGTGGCTTAAATTTTGTTCATCCGTATAAAGAGATACCAATTCCAAAACAACGCATTATCTCCTGTCATATGTTTTTGGATCAATACCCTAAAAGGTACAGCAAAAGCTCTCGCTGTGAACCTCTTCAGGCTGAACACGCTAAGAGGTAGCAAAACCGCGTTTTTAACCCCTAAGAGGTACGATGAGCCCCCCCGTCATTTTTATAGGAGAGTCCCCCCGGGGGGGAAGGCTGGAGGCAGGCAGCCAAGATGAAGCAGCATGGCAGGGGCTTGGGGACAAGGTGTTACATAG